AAACATCCATTCCTATGGTCAGGGAAACTTCTTGCACACTGGATTGATTGATTGATAACTTTATCATTTTCACACGGTAAAAATTCCTTCAGCACAATTTAAAAGCATAATTACAATATACATGAAAAAATTACTTGATTCTGATTGGCAGAGAGCAGTGCAGTTCAAGTGTAACACCAGTTCAAAAAGTGTAACAGTGCAAAAAGTGTAACACCAGTGCAAATTACACATAATTCTAGATTATGATTGGCTGAAAGAAAATAGTTAAGCCAATGATATCACGTAAAATGATGACAAAAATTTAGTGGAGAAACTTTGAAAAAAGTTTTCTCGAATGAGAAAAAATGGCTTCAAGAAAGATCTTCGGACATTTCCTCTGCACGCATTTTTTTCATGTTTATATCATTAATAAGTAATCATAGGGTTTTTATCTTTCAATCTGGAGGTAATTAGCACTTGTGAGTTTTTAAAAAAGCTGAAATTGCACTCGCCAAAGCAGCTCGTGTAATTTCAGCTTTTTGAAAAACTCACTCGTGCAAATTAGTTCCAAATTGAACTCAAGACCGTATGATTAACTATACTAATATCTAAGTCTGCCTAACTAAACTAACCAATTAAGCATTAAGGTAATGAAAACCTACATGTATCATATCACTAAAGCTGCTTTTGAAGGATGCTGTGTCTCATTCAAATCTGTAATGACGCAGTTTATGTTTAAACTGCAGATGAGAGCTCGTGAGAAAGGCTGCTCCACAAAATAGCACCCCTGTATAGAAAGGAAAAACTGGAGGGCCCTCGAATGTAAACCTCAAAGAAGCTGACAACAAAAAACTTGGCTGTCTGAATCTGCCCTCCATATGGGGATGGTAGGGGGGGAGGGGGCAGTGGATTGGGGATAATAAATGGAATGTTCATTATACATAGCCTTTTGTTTTCAGAGAGACCTTTCAACCAATTTCACTTTATGCAGAATTTTTTTGTGACTGGAAGGCTGAGTCATGAATCTGTAAGTTGACAATCATTGCTTTCAAGCCATTCGCCTTGACTTGTTGCTTTGAGAATATGATTTGGATGCTCGCATTTTAGGGTTGTGAAAAATTCAACAAGTCATTCTTTTTCAAAACTACTGGTATACATGTAGTTTGATAGCCACTCTATAAGCTATAATTTGATAATAATATAGCCAGGGCCAGGTTGTTCAAAGCCTGATTAAGTTAACCCAGGATTAGCGATGAATTTGATTTGAGTTTTGTAACTCCTCGGTGATGTTTTCTTGTTTATATTGTTTATCTTTTAGTGTTGAATTTGAATAATCTCAATTGAAACTACAAATCATACGCAGTGAAAACATTTTTATACAAGAAAAAATAATACTTAGGTTGCAATGGAACTTTTAATCCTGGGTTTGCATTAACTGGCTTTCAAACAACCCAGCCCCTGAGGTGCTGTGGTACACATATCTGTAGTTTAAAATGCATCTCAGTCTATATCACTAATAGATGGGAAACACCTGTTAAGGTATACAGTAAACTTAACTACAGCAGAACCCTGCCTTCTGACCACCCTGTTAATACGGCCACCTCATTATAATTATTATGGCCACTTTGTTCTGGCCTGAACAAAAGCTCAATCACTCATTTTCTTATTTAAGGGTTAATATGGCCAGAGTTTTGTGGCCTGTTGGTGATCGGATCTACAGGGTTTCTCTGTAGTGCCACAAGAGATGAAAGTATTGTATTTGTAATTTTAAATTAAACAATGAATGCTAGTAAGAATTTTGGGAGGGGTATAGTATGAATGAGTTTTAGCTTCCTCAAAAGGTGAGCCCTAAATTGGTTTTCCTTTCACCCTGCTTTTATTATTTACGAAATGTGTGTTATCTTTGTTTTTGAAGGTCCACAGACATCATTAAGACTGTCTTACCTGATGCATCAGCGTTTAGTTACAATATTTGACAATTTGGAGGAACAAACATCAGGAAAATAGCTGTCATGGATGACAAAACGCATAACTGCAAGGATTGTGGCACATATTTTCACTGTGAACAACAACTCAGGTGGCATGAAAGACTACACCTGGCTGATAATCGTCATAAATGCAATGAATGTGGCAGGGTTTTTAGTCAAAAAGGACATTTAAGGCAACATTTAAGAGTACATACAGGGGAGAAACCTTTTAAATGCAACTACTGCGGAAGGTGTTTTAGCCAGGCGGGAACTCTAATGCGGCATATAAGAACACATACAGGTGAGAAGCCCTTTAAATGTGACTATTGTGGTAGGCTGTTTAATCGGGCAGAGCATCTAAGCCGACATACAAGATGGCATACAGGAGAAAGGGCTCATGAATGCAGCCAGTGTGGTAAGCGTTTTATCGAGGCAGGAGATCTGAAGAAACACTTTATATTGCATACAGGAGAGCGGCCTTTTGTATGTAAGCTGTGTGGTAAGACTTTTAATCAGGCAGGGAATCTTACGCAGCATGTACGCGTGCACACAGGAGAGAAACCCTTTGAATGTAAACATTGTGGCAAGCGCTTTAATCGCTCAGGACATATGAGGCAGCATGCAAGATTACACACAACAGAGAGGCCTTTCAAATGCAGCCCATGCGGCAAACGTTTCAATGATCCTGGACAACTAAGGCGACATCTGAGACTACATACAGGAGAGAAGCCTTTTGAATGTAGTCAGTGTGGCAAACATTTTAGACA